GTTCTTAAATTGAAACTGAACTTTGCTCATTCAAGGCAAAGTGGTAGGCAAAAGATGTATTACTTACCTTTCCTGGCTTTGGCAGGTTCCAGCGCTGTGCTCAAGCTACTCCCCCATATCCTGACGTGCCAAGTACAGTATATCACTCAATAGTAAATCACTACGAGAAACAGTAGTAATTAAGGATCAGCACAGAATATTGACACTCCTGGAAGTGTCAGTTCCTGAAGAAACAGACAATGTTTCTTCAATTTAGGGCACTGAGAGGTAAGTATTTACTCTCTTCTCCACAGGTATAGCTGTTATTTCAAGTTTAATGTGTGTGACAGAGTCACTTCAAAGAGATTTCCAGAATGATCTGATTATGAAAACTGCAGCCCTGTTCAAAAGCCATGTGAAAATTCTCCCAATACTTTACCAAGTAATTCAATGAAACCCAGATCAAAAGTACACCTTTGTAAATTGAGTAAACTTTTGCAATCATAGCAGGCTTGTAATGTTTGCTGTAGCATTAATAGCTTACATACTGACTATGCGCGTTGCCTGAAGTTGATCTTTGTTAATAATATTCCAAGTGTATTGTGTGCTGTGACCTTTGCTCTATATTGCAAATGAACAGTTGCTAGTTTTCTGATGATGAAACAGCTGGTGAGGCCCTCTGCTGTTTGCCATCAATTGTATTATGTCTAGCACATTCATAGAATTCCTGGCACAGAGACTGATTTTTGTATTCAGTGCAGCTATATCCTGAGTTGTACCAATTCAGGTAAATTTGGGGACATATTTATAAAAACAGGATTTTAGCAACAAAATATACAATGTACACCGGAGTCTTTGTATAAGCCAGTGGTGGGCAACCTTTTTTTTCAACTGAGCCAAATCTCGCCAAAACCACAATTGAAATTTATTTTGAGAGCCACATTTTTAAAACTGAAAATACATCCCCCATATAGTAATTCATCCCCCATAGTAATTAACTCATCCCCCATATAGTAATTCATCCCCCATATAGTAAACTCATCCCCCATAGTAATTCATCCCCCATATAGTAATTCATCCCCCATAGTAATTCATCCCCCATAGTAATTCATCCCCCCTATAGTAATTCATCCCCCATATAGTAATTCATCCCCCATATAGTAATTCATCCCCCATAGTAATTCATCCCCCTATAGTAATCCCCCATATAGTAATTCATCCCCCATATAGTAATTCATCCCCCATATATAGTAATTCATCATCCCCCATAGTAATTCATCCCCCATATAGTAATTCATCCCCCATATAGTAATTCATCCCCCATAGTAATTCATCCCCCATAGTAATTCATCCCCCATAGTAATTCATCCCCCATATAGTAATTCATCCCCCATAGTAATTCATCCCCCATATAGTAATTCATCCCCCATCATAGTAATTCATCCCCCATAGTAATTCATCCACCATATAGTAATTCATCCCCCATAGTAATTCATCCCCATAGTAATATAGTAATTCATCCCCCATATAGTAATTCATCCCCCATAGTAATTTCATCCCCATATAGTAATTCATCCCCCATAGTAATTCATCCCCCATATAGTAATTCATCCCCCATAGTAATTCATCCCCCATAATAGTAATTCATCCCCCATATAGTAATTCATCCCCCATATATTCATCCCCCATAGTAATTCATCCCCCATAGTAATTCATCCCCCATATAGTAATTCATCCCCCATAGTAATTCATCCCCCATATAGTAATTCATCCCCCATAGTAATTCATCCCCCATATAGTAATTCATCCCCCATAGTAATTCATCCCCCATATAGTAATTCATCCCCCATAGTAATTCATCCCCCATATAGTAATTCATCCCCCATAGTAATTAATCCCCCATATAGTAATTCATCCCCCATAGTAATTAATCCCCCATATAGTAATTCATCCCCCATAGTAATTAATCCCCCATAGTAATTCATCCCCATAGTAATTCATTCCCCATATAGTAATTCATCCCCCATAGTAATTCATCCCCCATATAGTAATTCATCCCCCCCCCCTATAGTAATTCATCCCCCCTATAGTAATTCATTCCCCATATTGTGTCAGTTCACTTACCTTTGCTCCGCGTGTTCCTCTCGCCGTGTTCCCGCGCCGTTCCGGTCTTCAGGGCGGACTGTGAGAGGAGAGGAGTTCGTCACGCTGCCCCGCCTACATCCTGACAGCCAATGTTTGCCACGCTCCGCGGGCCGGATTAAAAGGTCCGCCGGGCCGTATGTGGGCCGTAGTTTGCCCATTGCTGGGCTAGCTGCAGAGTCCTGACTTTTGGGGCAGCCGCCCGAGAGGAGGGAGGGGCACACAGAAGAGCCGCATTAATGTGTGTAAAGAGCCGCATGTGGCTCGCGAGCTGCGGCTTGCCGACCACTGGTATAAGCTATAAGAAGTGTTGCAAATGTTGTAGATATATTAATTCTCTAAAACAGGCATCACTAAATGGCGGACTGAGTCACTGTACCATCTGGACCCATGCTGTCCCGCCATTGAGGAGCCTTTTCTTCCCCCAGCCGTTTCATGGTCATTCTCACAGAGCTGACAGCGGGAAGCAGGACAGTTCTGGATGGAGGGCGGGAGCTGCCTGAGGTTAACAAGCAGGTGATTGGTTGCTAGGATGAAGGGCAGTCCTAGCAATCAATCAATGTCTGTCAATCACTGTCTGTGTAAGGTAGGACAGTGGGGGGGGGGCAAAGTTAAAGGGGCTAAGGACATTAGTGTGAAGGGGGGCTGATGTGAAACGGAGCCAAGGACTGAATGTGGGGGTGCTGAGGACTGAATGTGGGGGGACTTAGAACAGTAATTTTTTTTGGGGGGGGCTGAGAACAGTAATGTGGGGGAACTGAGGACAGTAGTGTGTGTGTGTGTGGGGGGGGGGGGGGGGTTGAGGACATTAAAATTCAAGTGGAGGAGCTATGGCCTGAAATGTGAAGGGCTAGAGGCTGTCATATGGGGGAGCTGAGTGCATTAAAGGATGGGGGGGGGGGCACTGAGGACAGTAATGGGGGAGCTAAGGACTGTGGTGTGTGGAGGCTGAGGACATTAAAGTGGGGGCTGAGAACTGTAATGCGGATTGTTTGAAAACAGTAACATGGAGGGGGCAGAAGACAGTAAAGCCTACATGAGATTCGGACCTCTGACACATGAAAATTTTACTGCCCGGACCTCGGTGAATTTTATTTCAATATCCCTGCCCTAAAGTATCCTTGTGACAGTCTGTGTAAAGACCTTCCATCCAACCCACTGTTACCTCTCCAGCAATCCCCTAATGCTCTCAGCCAGCAATATGGGGGAGCATGTGGCCTCTATCCCCGATATTGAGCTTGGGCCTAGTTACTAGACTGAGCACTATCACATGATGCAGAGAGTGACAGCACTGCTCTCTCTCATTTCTAGGCACCAGGTATTTTAGTGGTGACTGTGGCAAAATAATAATTGGTTGTGGATCACCTGAGAAAATGGCTTCAGAGGTTTGGGGAGAGAGCTTTTACACAGACACTATCAATTTTTCCTGAATGGGTAAAATGACAGTGTCTCTTTTTGTACCAGAGTTGTGTAAAGGTACACAACAGTACAAATTACAAATTTAACATTAAAATGCACATAGAGAATATAGCTGCTGAGTATCCTGTCCAGATACTGCTTCTCAGAAATGGTCCACCCCACTTAGTTTGATGATCCTGGAACACACCTGCTGGGGATGCTGGGACACCCTCTTTGTGCGTTTCATATGAAGAAAGCCTGATGAAAAAAGCATACCAGTACTTAAAATATTTACACAGCTAACAATAAAATTCAACCCTGCCTGCCTAGTACTGACCCTCATTCGAGCTGTGATTTGGTGATTCTGAACACGTGTGCTGGTGATGCTGGAACTCCCATCTTTATGCCTTTAACACACAGAAAGCCTGATGAAAAAAAAACAAAATAACAGTGCTCAGCAGATTCTCACTGCTATCAATCAGATCTAATTCTGTCTGTCTCCAATTGACCCTCTGTTGAGCATTTGTGCATATTCTGCGATGATGTGCACAAAATTTAGGGCAAAATAAGGCAACTTTCTGACTTTAGTAAAGTTGTTGTATATGGTGGCTAGATAAAAATGTTAAAGAGTAGGTTCACCTTTTCATGAAAAATAAAAAGGTGGCCTAACTCTAAATTTCCTGGCCACCCCTCAGGGCCCTGTTGCACTTAAGGGCCTTGATGCTCCGCACTACCACTGTAGCATACCCTTCACCACAATACACAGCCCTGGAGTGAGTATACATAATAATGCTCACAATGGCAAGCTCTCATTGGTCAGGAGCAACCACATGGTTCCAAATTAGAATTTATCCTACATCAGGTATTTGCTGATAGCGGCTTATGTACCTAATATTTGTTCTGTTTTGTGGTTATAACTGCAGTTTCCAGCAGATATAATAACTATCACTGTAGGAACAAACTGGTTGCTGATCAAACCCCTAAAAGTATGCAGAACACAATACTAGTGATTTACAAATGCTGACTAATTCTGTCAACTACTGATTTTATTTTCCATCATAACTGAAAAATAAAGCTATAAATATTTTTGTTCTTTTTTAATACATTTCTAGGGGTTGTATTTTATTTGTTTAACTTCAAAATAAAAAGTATTTGCTTACTGATTGCTATAGGTTTTTATGGCACAGTGACAGTTTTTACATTTGTGGTATACAACATTCCACTTATATGTAATCTTGAATTTTTTATGTATGTTTGTCTTTTATGTCACATTTTATACCTCGGTGGCTGTCTCTCTATATATATTCTCCTTACTGAGTAATGTTCTTCTATCTTGTGTTTAGTCTTCAGAATTGATGCTGTGGTAGTTATGCATGTTTTCAAGGCAATTTAGAGATCAGGGTGATGTTGCTACCATGCATACTGTATTTCTAGACTGAACATGAGTGAAGTCTCACTATTACTATATCTTTTCATGTATAGGCCCTGCTCCCGGACAGTTAAAGCATGGGTGGAGGCACAGCGGGTAAGATGCCGCAGGGCACACGCTGTGCAGACGCTCAGCGCACAGATGGAGCGTCTCCCTCCAGGTGTCCGAGAATTTGTGATAAGAGGAGCTGAATTGTGTGATCCCCAAAACATCCACATATGTGATGGGTCTCCTTCCGAAAATAACACCCTTCTGACCTTATTACAGCAGGAGGGGATGCTGAAGAAACTAAGCAAGTACTCTAACTGGTAAGCTGCCATTTCCATAAAGTATACAATATAGCCAAGGATGTGATTATATCCATAGCAGAGCTTGCTAATGGTTTGGGGCCTGAAGCTGTTTGACTACACAATGACTTATGCAGAAATAGCATTTTTCAAATATATTTTTGGATATAGAATTTAGGAACCTATACATAATTGCAATGAAATACATTTGTGTCAGGTAGGCAAATAAATGTAGAGTTTAAAGACGACGGGGACCTTTAGTGGTTTTGCTATGGGGTTCTATCACTTATAGTTCTGGTCCTAAATCCAACCAGTTTTCTTAGGCATATTTTCATGATTGCTTATTTTATTAGTCCATGTTCTTTTTCAGTGTTTTTGTGTGTCCTTGTTGATATTGCTTAGTTGTTTTGTTTTTTTTTATAATAAATGTGAGCTTTGGCCGACTTTCTATTTAGGCAATAAATTGAACTATTATGGTTTTACCTATTTTCTGTTATATAGCTGGTTGGCAAGAACTGACCCAAAAGATGTAGCCCGAGTGGAGAGTAAGACTGTTATAGTGACTGACAGGCAAAGGGACACTGTGCCAATTCCACTGGAAGGTGTAAAAGGACAGCTGGGGAACTGGATGTCCCCTCAAGACTTTGAGCGAGCAAAAAGTGAACGTTTCCCTGGCTGCATGAAAGGTTTGTATCATTTGTCTGAGGTTTGTTAATAGACTGGCCTGGTCTGTTCATGGTGCCAATGCCACAAATGATTCCAGAGCAATAATGTCACAATCTCACGAGGTATGGAATGTAAATTAATGTCACCTAGCGTCAAATGTCAGTCTAGCGCTCAAAGATTGGTAATATGAAGTCCTATTTGCCAATGCCACAAATGATTGCAGAGCACAAATATGCAGAGCAATAAATCTGACAGTGTATAGAATGTAAATTATGTCAGCCTTGCACTCAAAGTGGTAGTAAAGTCCTATTTGCCAATGCCACAAATGATTGCAGAGCAATAATATGACAATCTGACAGTGTATGAAATGTAAATTATGTCAGTCTAGCACTCAAAGTGGTAGTAAAGTCCTATTTGCCAATGCCACAAATGATTGCAGAGCAATAATATGACAATCTGACAGTGTATAGAATGTAAATTATGTCAGCCTAGCAGTTGTAGTAACAAAGTTGTAGTAAAGTCCCATTTTTTATTTATACCTTTAGGTAACCCTATAATAAGGCTTACCTGTAGGTACAATAAATATCTTCTAATTGTGCACTGTTTAGGAGATAATTACTTTAGTAGCAGTGACATGACTGGCGCATGCGCACTCAATGGATGACATGCAGGCTATTGAGAGTTGTTCAGAGCCGTGCAAATGAGCCGAAGTAACATCATTGCAACTCAGCTATTCAGAGCCCGCGAACCTGGAAGGAAGATCGGGTGAAAATGGAAGCCCTGTCAGCGGTGACAGCATGCCACTGGAGGACTTTGTTTTAAGGTAAGTCTGTCATAATATGCTAGTATGCGATGCATACTAGCATATTATGACATTATCCTGCAAGGGCCCTAGTTTTGTTTGCAGTTTACTACTGCTTTAAGGAAATAAGTAACACTGGGGAAATCTATCTAGTTCCTATTCCATCAGTAGGTGGCCCAGTCTTCACCACTCCTCCCACCATAAAAAGAAAGCTATGATTTTATGGCCAGCTTTAGTTTGTTATTCTTTCTCCATATATTCCCCACTCCTATTTCATATATATCCTCTATCATCTTACTCTCTATCTCATTATTTATGTGTTTGATTTGTTTTTCCTAGGTCGCACTATGTATGTATTACCATTTAGTATGGGCCCAGTTGGTTCCCCACTGTCTAAGTATGGGGTTCAGCTCACAGATTCTCCCTATGTAGTGGCCAGCATGCGCATCATGACTCGAATGGGTAAACCAGTGTTAGATGTACTGGGTGATGGTGAATTTGTGAGATGCTTGCACTCCGTGGGACAGCCACTTCCTCTTAAAGGTAGGATAAAATCTCTATGTTATCTTTTGATCAGTATGCATCATATAAATACTGTATATATGTTATATGTGATGTATTTTTATTTTTCTGAACAGCACCCCTTGTGAATTCCTGGCCCTGCAATCCTGAAAAGACAATAATTGCCCATGTCCCTGATAACCGTGAAATTGTGTCCTTCGGCAGTGGATATGGAGGAAACTCTCTGTTGGGGAAAAAATGCTTCGCTCTGCGCATTGCCTCCCGAATCGCAAAGGATGAGGGCTGGTTGGCGGAGCATATGCTGGTGAGAGAGGAGCTTATAGCACCCTGTACACTCTCTCCTGCACTAGACCCTCTGTCTTCTGTTTCCTGAGCCTTTCCTGTTACTGTACATTCTTTTGTTATGGGGTTTTTTTCCCATGTTAGATTTTGGGGATCACAAACCCTGCTGGACGTAAGCGTTACATCGCAGCTGCTTTCCCAAGTGCATGTGGAAAAACAAATCTGGCCATGATGAAGCCAGCGCTGCCTGGCTGGAAAGTACAGTGTGTGGGAGATGACATTGCCTGGATGAAATTCGACAGTGAAGGTGAGTGGTACAATTAGTTGCTGTAGCAGGGCTGCCAAAAGGGAACACAGTGAACTAAGCAGTAAGATTAAAATAGCAAGGGCAAAATCAGTGAAGATGGATGCATTTTCTTTGTTACTGTAAAGATATATTCCTTACAGACATAAAAATGTGTAATTCATATACACATAGAGAATGCACCCTCCTGTACAGTGCTGGCTTGAATACTTTGTGAGTCTCTGCCCTAGAACAGGTACGGATATGAGGAATCGGGACTACAAATCTACTCTACCTATTTGATATGTACTTGTTTTAGAAAAAAATACTTAAGACCCATACACATTGGCCAAATATCAGAAGAATCAGCCAATACAGTAGATATCAGCCAACATTTGGCCCATGTGCACAGGTTCTTGTTTGGCAGAAGAGGATAACATGGCCAGCTTCTGTCAAACGAGCCTACTGGAAAACCAGCAGCTGACTGGTATCCGAATAGCGCTCTCAGCCAATGTGCTTAGATGGGGGGGGGGTCCTCCTGTCAGAACACAATAGCTTAGTGGAGAGATCACTGTACTAACATTGCATCATTAGAACAGAGACCTCCTCGCGAGCTCCTACGGTTTTTTTTTTTTCCGCTGCGCTAAATGAAAAAAAAACTTACCGTTTGTACCATACTGGAATCTAGAGATGTCAGGAAACTAGCATTTTAAGAGGGAGGCCATTGAAGAAAACATGTACTAAGAAAACATAGGGGAGTCCATTGCAGACCATGCCAGAAAATGCCAGTTGTCTGGCTGTAATGTTAAATTAGTGGCTTTAACATTTTCTGAAGTACAGACCTGGAAAGAAAGTATGTAGATAAGAAGGTCTTATTTCACTTTAAGCCCTCCTGCACAGTAGACGTTTTAACGCTGCTCCTAGGGGCGTCTTGCCTTATTTTTATTTTTTTTCTGCCTCTAAATGCTCCTGCATGTTAGCCTATGTGTCCATGCAAACCCACTGCCAGCGCATCCAGGAACATTGGCATATTGGCAGAAATAAATGCTTGATGCCTGTAAATGTGTGTAAACACGCCTAAGTAATAGGAGCATTTAGCTCTTGAGAGTTAATTCATTTCAATGGCCAGAATAAATGATTACTCTGGTCAATTAAATTAATTAACACTCAAGCGCTAAACACACATAAACGCATTACATGCGTTTATATGCATTGTTTATTCTGGCAAAACACAGCAGGAAAGCCATCTAGAAGAGTTGGCAACTCAGTAAGTCAGAGACAGACATCTAATATTTTCAGAAAGAGGTACAGGATGCCTGTAGACATCTGTAGGTACAAGTTCCTTGCATAGCAGACTGCTGTGTCCTCTCAGCTCTTAGGCCTGTTCACACCTAGAATGTTTAAATAGTGTATGCGCTACTCAATGCTGCTGCATCATGTGTATTCGAGTTGCCAGTCATTTACAACACACTTGCACTTCAGCACACCACAACACACAAAGAGGGATGCAATGTGGTGCAGTTGAAGCCTTTTCAAAATAAATGGGCGGCAATAATGTGGCAAAGCTGGACCTATGATTAAGGCTGTTGTAGCACATGCATTATTGTAGCACAGCATAGTGTAAACAGGACCAAAATGAGCAATGTAAAAGCATTATCTGTGTGTGTTGCTGGTTTAGAAAGCCTGGTACTACCCACTCCGTGCTTGAATGCTGGCGATCTGCTGCGTGATATTGCCAACAATTCTCTTTCTCTTCTGTGTATCAGTCAGTCCTGCAGATTTGCTTTAATATGCTCATTCTGATTATACATATCTACAATCAAACCCTTGTCTACCCCCATTTCAGTTTGTCTATACTATTTGCAGAAATTTATAGATGAGAATATCAGTTTTCAAATAGAGCAAATGCTAAATGCTTTGTAGATTTGCTCAGTATGTGGAGAATTATACAGTTTGTGACTTACGGTTGCTGGATCCTAAATTGTGAGATTCCCCATAAATCTGACAGATTGTCGTGCAAATATTCATGGAAATAAAAAATATACAAATTACTGATTTTTCTGATTTAGTCATCCATATTTAATTATACACAGGATGACAACAAGCTTCAACCCAGCACCCAAGCACTAAAGCCCTGGGGACCACAAGTGATTATGAAAACTTATAAATTATAAACAGCCTTAATTTTGATTCTTTGGGTATTTCCTCTTACTTAGCAGTTTACAGAATGACTTTAGTTGGTCTTAGAATCTGTAACAAAAATATACCTGAAGTTGTTCATCATAAAGCATTGTATCATCCATAAAGTTTGAGAACAGCAACATTCTTACTGTGTCCTTATCGCCGACATGCCCATGTTAAAATGGTTTCACTCCAAAAAAATTGTAGTCGAAATTATTTATTTGTTGTCCCCTGTACCAGGAATGTCCACCAGCTGCTATTTCTCCATAGTGAAAGCACAAAAAAAATAATTACCGCAAGCACTCTAGATCAAATGTTTTGTCTTTTACAGGATGTCTCCGTGCGATTAATCCAGAAAATGGATTTTTTGGAGTGGCTCCTGGCACTTCTATAAAGACCAACCCCAATGCCCTTAGCACAGCGGAAAGAAACACTATCTTCACTAACGTGGCAGAGACCAGTGACGGAGGGGTCTATTGGGAAGGGCTGGATCAAGAACTACCTCCCGGTGTTACAGTTACATCCTGGTTGGGAAAGCCATGGAAGAAAGGTCAGATGCCCTTTTTTCTTATTAACTAATCTGCATAGTTTTTGGATCTCCAGTTGTAATGAGAATTTTATATCTACAGGAGACAAAGAGCCCTCTGCACATCCAAACTCACGCTTTTGTGCACCTGCTGCTCAGTGCCCTATTATGGATGAGAGTTGGGAGTCTCCAGAGGGTGTTCCTATAGATGCCATTATTTTTGGTGGGAGACGGCCTGAAGGTAAGTGATTTACATATATATTGGTGCAATAATGCATTCCTATTTTCCTTGGTGTTTCTCTATGAAAGTCCTTTGATTGCCTACTATACTTGTTAATGAAATATATATATATATATATATATATATATATATATTATATTCAATAACAAATATAGTAGGCACTATCAATATATATCATGCCATAGCCTCAAAATTACTAAATGTAAAACATATGCACTTCCTAGTGCTACTATTAATGAAACGTATCAAAGTACTGAAGTGAAATAAATAACATAGGTATATCAATGTCAGTTTCCAAAAACAAAGTCTATAAACAAGTAAAAATATGAAAGAGGTCATGGGAGATGCTTTGACGTCACGATGCTCGATGGTTCCATACGGACACCAGCTGGCAAGATTAGGTTTTTCACCACTGAAAAAAATCTGGAGGATACATTTTGGCACAAAGCGGTTTTACATCCAGATTATATGTGAGTGCAATTCTTTTAATAATAAAACAGTTTTAAAAGGATATCACGCTATGATCTGATTAATCCTCTACATAAACCACTGTGGAAGGAGGGCCTTCGATTGAACAAAGGAGGACCCCAAACAGCAAGATACCATCTCATCCATACTCTGACCCATTTAAAGGGACACAAGCGTTATATTCCCTTACTTAACGGTTTGATCATATATTTGAGGTGAGAGCACAACCGGTGGGGGAGCACATTTATGAAAGTTTGTTCACACAAAATTATCAATTAAGAAGCACAGGACATTTTATAATTTTTTGTTTTGTATATTTTTTTCTATGCATGTTTGAAGAAGTATATGTATGGACTTTTTTTCTAACCTCTTTCATATTTTTCTCACTTGTTTATGGACTTTGTTTTTGGAAACTGACATTGATTGATATACCTATTTTATTTATTTCACTTCAGTACTTTGATACGTATTAGTAATAGTAGCACTAAGATGCGCATATGTTTTACATTTAGTAATTTTGAGTGAAGCACGGCACAACTTTGGTATTTAGTATTGCTATGACACACTAGTATGAGTATGTGTTAGGTGTGGGCGATTCATTAGAATTAGAAGCTGTTTTCACTCACATAGCAGCTCACAAGTTTTATACATTTATTTTTGACAAATAGCATTTATGTTAAGGGTCAAGATAGCAGATCTTTCAGACAATGCCGGACTATAGCACATGGGAATCAGAGGGAAAAAGGAAAGATAGATCTTCAGATATAAACATTTCCTACTAAATATCTTAGATCAATAATGAGCATCTTCAATATGCAAGCATGCTGGTTAAGATCATTATTCTCCAATGAATTGCATAATTTGAAACAATTGAGCTGTGTATGTTTGTCCAAATACCTTTACTATGTATGTTAAGCTGGATATTGAAATATATTTTAGGTGTGCCGCTAGTATATGAAAGCTTCAACTGGAATCATGGTGTGTTTGTTGGGGCTTCTATGAGATCTGAAGCTACAGCGGCTGCAGAGCACAAAGGTGAGTCCAAAGATGATGCTTCGACAGACACAGCATCCCTTTTAGATGTATGCTCACTGACCACTTTATTAGGTACACCTTGCTGATGCCAAGAAAATATCTCCCACACCATTACACCACCACCTCCAGCCTGAACCATTATTACAAGGCAGGATGGATCCATGCTGTCATGTTTATGCCAACCTCTGACCCTACCATCTGAATGTAGCAGCAACCAGTCTGCCCATTCTCCCTGACCTCTGAGATCAACAAGGCACACAACTGCTGCTCACTGGATATTTTCTCTTTTTCGGACCATTCTTTCTAAACCTCAGAGATGGTTGTGTGTGAAAATCCCAGTAGATCAGTAGTTTTTGAAATACTCAGACCAGCCTGTCTGGCACCAACAACCATGCCATGTTCAAAGTCACTTAAATCCCCTTTCTTCCCCATTCTGATGCTGGGTTTGAACTTCAGCAAATCATCTTCACCTCTACATGTCTAAATGCATTGAGTTGCTGCCATGCAGTTGGCTGTTAAGCAATTTGTGGTACCAAGCAATAGAACAGGTGTACCTAATAAAGTGGCCGGTGAGTGTATAAGGATCCAGATTCTACTAAAATTGTATTTTTTATATTCATTCAGGCAAAGTTATAATGCACGATCCATTTGCAATGCGTCCCTTCTTCGGATATAATTTTGGCCACTACCTCTCTCATTGGCTGAGCCTACAAAAAAGGGAAGGTCTTCGTCTTCCCAAAATCTTCCACGTCAACTGGTTCCGAAAGGATGAAAATGGACAGTTCTTATGGCCAGGTTTTGGTGAAAATGCCCGTGTGCTAGACTGGATCTTCCGTAGAGTAGAGGGAGAAGAGAGTGCACTGCAAACTCCTATTGGCTATCTCCCTGCTGAGGGTGCATTGAATTTGCAAGGGATAGGTGGAATTGACACAAATGAGCTGTTTTCGCTCCCGAAAGGATTCTGGGAAAGAGAAGTACAAGAGGTGGGTAAATACTTGAAAGAGCAAGTTAATGATGACTTGCCACCACAAATTATGGAGGAGCTGAAGGGTCTTCATACCAGAGTGAGCCGCATGTGAAGATAAATGGAAGGAACACTACAAGGCCAGAAAGGGAGTGATAGGCACACCTCAGTTCATACATTGCACAAGTGCCTTTCTTTACATATCTGTAACACCATTTAAAACATTACAAGCTACCTTTTGAATTGAATGAACTACAAAAATAGGGGCAAGAAGCTTAATCACTATATAAAGTGATTCAGAATCTTGAAGACACAAGCCAAACAAAAAGCAGCAAGATGCTATATAACATGTATGCATCAAAGAATTCTATTCCTCTCAAACCGCCATCTGATGACCTCAGGAATTGTGATTGTATTTTTCTGTCTTTTTTAATATGAATAAACATTTTTTTTGTCTTTGGTGTCCTTCTTCTATTAACCTTCTGACATTTTGCGCCCGATACCCAAATCTGCAGTGTAACATACTGCATGCTAAAAGTTCCAAAACAAGTGTTATCAGAAGTGAGAATAATGCTTGATACAAAGTTTCACATGTATTAAATGATGACGTTAATCAAGAGAAAAGTTTCATGCATTTATAAGGTGTTTTTGCAATATTATTTATAATCTATATACATACATATTTTTATAAATAAAAAATATATATTTATATATTGTCCCCCCTCAAATTAAAGCTTGATGTGGATGCAACTCCTATCCTCCAAAAGAGGAGGCATGAGTGATCAAAGAACCATGCTCCTGTTCTGTACACCCCACCAAAGATTGGGAGCTCAGCAGGGATTACCAATTCAGTTAGGACCTACGTATGTTGATAGGCTTTGGGCTGGTGGTGATGGCATCCATTTGACATCATTTTGAGAAGCTTCTGATATTATTCAGAATTACTTGACAGGTGCATTTGACCAGCTCCCTCTGATCTGTAGGATGGGAATGCAAAAGCTGCTAGACTTTTATTTGTATATTAAATAGTATCATAAAGTGTATAATGTAAAAGGGGAATATGTGTATTAAAATTAAAGTCCAGCATCCACATCCACCCCTCCATTTTCCCCTCTTTATGCACAGTAAATTTGTATAAAAATTATTTGATTCTTTCTGGCATCTCTTAAACTACTACATGTGCAGAACCCTAATGCAAACATAAGCATGCCAGTGCTGCTTTGCTTTAACTACTACGGGCAGAGACTGAGGGGGTGAGGTGGGGGGTTGAGAGGGGTTGGGCTCCGTTTCCGCCACCCCCCTCTGCCAATCCCTCCACTGGCTTCCGATTGTGCAATGGATCAAATTCAAAATCCTAACACTGACGTACAAAGCCGTCCACCATACTGCCCCGAACTACATCACTGACCTAATATCCAAGTACTGCCCAGCACGCACACTCTGCTCCTCACAAGAAGTCCTTCCCTCTAGTTCCCTGGTCTCCTCTTCCCATGCCCGCCTCCAGGACTTCTCCAGGGTGTCACCCATCCTCTGGAACTCCCTGCCCCAACCCATCAGATTATCACCTACTCTCCTCTCCTTTAGGCGCACCCTGAAAACCCATCTCTTCAGGGAAGCCTACCCCACCCCCTGCTAACTTGCCGACCTCCTCCACTCTTCCTACCACTCCATCCCCCACAGCTATCTTCTCCTGTACCACTATCCCCTCCCTCCTAGATTGTAAGCTGGAAAGAGCAGGGCCCTCAATCCCCTCATGTTTTGCATTGTATTGGTATTGTTCTGTCACATGTTCTGTCCCCCTTTGTAATGTACAGCGCTGAGTGAACTATTGGCGCTTTATAAATACTGTATAATAATAACTACAAGGGGACAGTCACAAGACCAGATGCCCTGCTCAAGGAGGAAGAACTGCAGTGGTCAATCATCGCAGACAGAAACTGCTGCTATGAAGCTTGTGGATAGTCAAGTTTGAGATTGATTTATTATTATTATATTATTAAAGGATTTATATAGCGCCAACAGTTTGCTCAGCACTTTACAATATAAGGGGAGACAATACAGCAACAATACAGTTCAATACAAGAGGGTTAGGAGGGCCCTGCTCCTTGGAGCTTACAGTCTGCAGTGCTGCAGTATATCCCAAAAGGAGTTCAGCTATAAAACATTAATATAAAAAATACTTTTATTTTTCTTTAAAAGCACCTTAAAGCAGACCCTGCATTAAAATGCAATGTCTGCTTACACTCTCCTGAACCCCTCCTTCTTTTACAAATCACCTAATATTAGTAGGTGTAAAATGTGCCTTTAAAGGAAAAGTTAGGGTTCATGTACATGGGATGTTTGGAAAACACTTCTGAACGATGGAAACTGACTGCTGGAAAACGTAGGTTTGTGTTTTGAAGCGTTTTTTAAAGATAACATCAGGAGACCTTCCCAAATGCCCAGAATGCACTGAAAAACAGTAAAAAAAAAACTATTTCAGATATTTTGAGAGAAATAGAGAGAGCAGAAGCAGAGAGAGCAGTATGTGTTGAGATGACCTATCTTTTCTGGTTGTATTCACTACGGATCCCATCATGAGCATAATGGGGCACGTTCTACCATTTTTTCCTTCACGCGAAACCTGAAACTGACTGCAATGGTGTGCTAGGTCCATTTGAATACATGGAAAATGCTTTGCATGCATTTCTGATGATGAAAAGAGGCTCTGGACAGCATTTGGATATGGAACAGTTAAAAAACACTTATAAACGCAAACGCTTCTAAACAGGGTTAGTCGCGTTTACAAGCGTTTGAAATGCTGATAAATTCTACTCCTGAATGCAAGTTTGGTGCTTTAAAAAAAAACGACTGTAAACTCAACTGCCTATAAACAACTGTAAATGACTATGTGTACATGGACACATAGGAAAACATTAGGGAGAGTTCAGGGGCTGCTGAAAAAAAATGCAGAAAAGCTCCTGAACGCCAGCTTATCAGCTGCAGTGTACATGAGCCCTTAGGGTTTAAAGTTACCTCACCCCCATCTTCTACCAATGGTGCTTAGGCCAGGATGATATCACATTTGTTCTGTCTTTATCCAGGGGAATACAGAGCAGCCAAAGTCTTGTGAGATTATGCCCCTGTAGTGGACTGGAGAGCGTCTTCTTCAGGATTTCACTTTTTCTGTATTCCCCAGGAATCGTCCCAGGAGGATGGTGACGTCACACCCATTAATGGGGAAGAAAAGGGTGAGGTAAATGTAAAACTTTACAGCGATCCCGCATAAGTGCCCCCATAGTAAGCTGCATGCTATGGGGGTACTTGACTGGGGGGGGGAGCCATGAGTGCAGGAGGGGGAACCAGAGGAGAGGAGGATCGGAGCTGCTCTGTGCAAAACTTTTGGACATAGCAGGTAAGTATGACATGTTTGTTATTTTAAAGCAAACATAATTCTAGGTTTACAATCACTTTACGTCATGGCTTGATTAATTTGCTTTGAACCTAGGAGCCAGATTAATAACTTAAGAGCTGTTTTCTTTATGAGTGCGGCCAAACTTTGCAGTGAGAGGGGCTTATGAGGCATGCTTAAACAAAACCCAGGCTTTGGGTATGGCTGGGGAGGTTGCTTTGGGAGGTACAAGACTTGTGCTAGAATGTTGGGCAGAAAAAATATACTGGGGGGAGGGGGCTTTGGGAGGGGAGAAGACTTGTAATAGAAGGCAAGGTTGGGGGTCAGCTATGTGCTGGGGGGCCTTTAGAAGGGGAGAAGACTTGTGCTAGAAGGTGGGGTGGAGTGGACTTGTGCTGGAGGGATGTGGGAGTCAGATATGTACTGGGGGGAGGTGCTTTGGAAGGGGAGAGAACTTGTGCAAGAATTTTGGGGGATGGATATATGCTTGGGGGGGCACTTTGGAAGGAAAGTGGACTAGTGGTGGGGGGTCAGATACGTAATGGGGAGTTGTTCTGAGAGGGGACTGGACTTGTGCTGGGGGTGGGAGGGGATCAGATACGTACATGGGGCGTGCTTTGGGTGGGGAGCAGACTTGGGCTGTCTAGTAGGGGGATTAGATATGTACTGGGGGGGGGGTGCTTTGGGAGGGTGGAGGATTTGTGCTAGAATGTGGCGGGGGGCGGATATGTACTTGGAGGGGGCACTTTGGAAGGGGAGTGCTGGGGGGAGGGGTGTCAGATACATACTGGGGAGGGGGTGCTTTGGGAGGGGTAGAGAATTGTTCTGGGTGGGGTCAGATACGTACTGGGGGGGGTACTTTGGGAGAGTAAAGGACTAGAAGGGGAGGTGGGGGAATTTCAAATCCAATCCCCCCTCCAGCACAATCTGGCCCATCTTAAATAGCCCGTTTGGGACCAACATCTGCCACCAGTGCACCTGAGCGCACACATGTATGCACATGGGTATGTGCATGCGCTTTAGCATGTGCCCAATTCCTGTGAGCACGAGAGGGAACATGTTTTAGCCTGTGTACGAAAGGTCTTCCAGAGGAACCATTTCGTCGATAGGCATGCCTTTCTTGACACTCTGCCCCACTGCTTGTGCGGGGTTATGTGATACCACACATCGCGATCCATTCTCTGTATTGCAGTCAACATTCCCCTGCAGATACAGAGACTAGATTACACTGTGTGGTACCCCATACAACCCGCACAAACTGTGGAGCAGAGGCAACCTGCGCCCATACTAGCACGCCGCCTCCAGACAAGTCACTCAAGCCTTGATTCACCAGGATATGGGGGCTTGCATCAAATCCTGGGACACTTGCAAGGCATTCAATTTTAAGTCTCCATGGTGACCTGGCGCCTGGGATTTGTTGATCCCTTAAGTTGTCACATAAACAGAACTGTGTATGTTCCACAGTTGCTAGTCACATTTTTTTTTTTTGGCACATAAAATCTGACCATTCATATCTGATTATTGTTCAAAACAAACTGCTGTTTTAAAGTGATACTAAACACATAAATCATAAAAACCTGTATATGTTTTGCCAAAGTATGCTATTCATGTTTGTGTAGTTCATTTTAAACAATTAAACTGCTACGCACCTGTATACCATAGCTGTATACAGTGGCTTCCATTCCCGTCTGATGTATCCATGTACATCGGAAGAGGAAGCATAA